TTTCCCCTAAAAATATTTTTAGATCTTTCCGCTCAATTTTCAAGTTTCAAAACCATTTTGATTTTGTTTCCCCCAATACGTTTTATAAAAGTCTTGTACAAACTGTGCTGATATTGCAAGTATAATTCATGTGCTGCTGGAACTCTCACAATATCCTTCATTCGATTTCACGATTTTAAAATTTTTCACAAATTTTTTCAAAAGCCGATTAATTGCCTAAATTTGATTTATTGCCCAGCCCTTAGCCCATGGATGTGGTCTGGGCTAATGCTGCCAGGTTAATGGTGCTGTGCTAATGCTGCTGTGCCGGTTGTTTTGGTGCTTTTTCTTCAGAGCCTGCGCTAGCTTTAGCCAATCGGTGCCGGGTTAACCTCATGGATCTATAATTATAACCTCAAGTTCCATCAGGGCCCAACAGAGTACCTAGCATGGACGAGGGACTCCGTCGGGCCCCGTGCAATTTGATGAAATAATGACAATTTGAATACAGAATGACAATATGCCGGTATAACCAAAATCTCTATCATTGGCCAAATTTTTATCGCATACCGCTTATACCACTTATACGTTTATATCGCCCAGCCCTAGTGTCAAGGGTCTAAATCACTGTTCAAATATATTTATTTGTTGGACTCCCTAATTGATCTGTGTTCTACCAAAACAGATCAGAATGTGTTCTCCTCAAAATATTTTCATTGGGGCTGCAATATCCCTCAAAGTTTGAACAGACACTAGAGCACAGTCAACAACAAAATCATGTTTGACTAAAGGTTTGCCCTCGATTTGTCGCTCTGGAAAAACCTTTCAAAACCTTCACGTCTCTGATCTTAAGGGGCCTCACAAGGCTTCAATCAATAAGAAATTAATTAAACTTGTGAATTGAGTACATTTTATTGGCCTTTATTCATCATAAGTATATGAGTGTTAGAGTTTCGCTTTTCAGCCCGAGCCCGAGCAGGCCCGTGGCCCGACCTGAGTTCGGGCCGGGCTCGGGCCTCATTTGGCGCTCAGCTGTCGGGTTCGTGCCGGGCTCGGGCTTCTTTTTTTAAATGTATGTTTCTTTTTTATTATTATTATTATAATTATTTTTAAATTATTTTTATACATAATGATATATATATATATATTATATATCATTATTTTTATACATAATGATATATATATATATATATATATATATATAAAATAACAATGTCCGTTGATTGACAACAAGTTATTAAAAAAAGTTAATATATTAATGACACCGTAACCAGCGTGTCCTACAGCAGCAGCGAGCCGTGAACACATCATCCCCGTGTCTCCTGCTGCATGCTGTGGTCAACAGCGAACAGGAACAATAGTAGAAATGGATCAAGTGGAGACTAAACTTGCAATTGGAAGGTGAGTGCGTACAACGGGAAATCAGATGTGTCGGGTTCTGTTAGGCTCGGGCCTGTTATACAGCGTTCATTGGTCGGGCTTATTCGGGCTTAACATTAGCGGGCTCGGGCCGGGTCGGGCTTCATTTTTCAGGCCCGAACGAAACTCTAATGAGTGTATACCAAAAATTTCAGATTATTTTTACTGATAGATTTCTATAGAAAATCTTTATAGACACCTAATGCAAATTTTGATCGACCAAGACACCAACCATTTAATTGGCTAAACATTAAAAGGCAAGACATTATTTTAGATTTCAATGAATCTAGTGTTTATTCTCCCGATTCATTGAGTAGTTAATGTGATATTTGATCTTGGTTTAGAAGCCATCAGACATTCTTGTTTCAGACAATTTTATTTCATTCATACTGTTCCAAATTTTTATGCTATCACTTCCCTGTTTGTGTGTTAAAATAGCACATTGCAATAACTATTACACATTTACAAATAATTGTAATTAATTGTTCGATTTGAAAAAGTTAGATTCTAATAAGATTCTACATCACTGTGTTTTGACTTTTACTTCCTCAATTCTCTGTCAAGCGAACTATAAACCATTTGCAATAGCCCCTCTTATGCAATCTGTCAGCATCTTAATAAAACTTTTATAGATACTTTTCATATACTCTGTGGGAAAAAAGAACAACCTCACGCCTATGTATTTTCTAGCAGATGATAATAAAATCTACAAATATCTGAGCTAGCTGATCGAGGACATTGGGTACAAATACATTCTTTTATGTAAGCAGTTATTTTTATTGCTGAAGGTTTACTGATGTAAAAGCTACTCTATAAAATACAAGCATAAACAAAAACAAATTAGACACAGGAGAAGGTGAGAGCTGCCTTAAAACATCTTGTCCCCAAAGCACACAGCAATAAAGCTTCTTGAAGATACATTAATGTATTCACTTGCGCTTTTCTTTATTAGAAATCCAGTCATATAAATCCCTTCTGCTTTGTGTTTATGTTCATTTTATCTGTTGATGGCTAAAATAAAGAATCTTAATGATTCTGACTCATTGTAGAGATGGTGGTGTTGCTGAACTGCTGCCGCTGCGCTGACCCAACTTTGACTCCATAATGCACATTACTCTCTCTGTGGGAAGGCTTGGATTATAAAGGAATCTGGTTAAACAGAGACTAACCCCAGCACAGAGTCATTCAGTAAAGGTTTGTCAAATTGACAATTGGGTGTCCATACCAAAACTCTGTTTGAAACTGGATAATCAATTGAGCAAACTGTATTGATCAACTGGTTTGAAAAAATAAATATATCCACACACAGAAATACACCCACACACGAAGTACAATATATATGTGTCCCACTTGTTGTTGATTCATGACAAAAAACTAAAATTTTATATCTTTATGTTTGAAGCCTGAAATGTGGCGAAATGGGCGGCACGGTGGCTGAGTGGATAGCACTCTCGCCTCTCAGCAAGAAGGTCCTGAGTTCGAATCCCGGTCGGACCAGGGCCTTTCTGAGTGGAGTTTGCATGTTCTCGCCTGTGTCTGCGTAGGTTTCCTCCGGGTACTCCGGTTTCCCCCTACCACTAAAAATATGTACAATAGGTCTGGCATATATATATATATATATATATATATATATATATATATATATATATATAATTTTTATTTTTTTTTATTTTTTTATTTTTTTTTTTTTTTTTTCAGTTCTTGAGTGTTTATCTTCTTCTGTTCATGACCATTGTTGATGAGCTTTGGTGACAGCAGCTCCCTGTCTAACTGCTTCATATGTTGAACTTCAAATGTTGATTGTGACAAAAAACTATAAAAACATATCAAAAAGAGCATCTTTACTTTCTGAGATTGAATTTGTATCAAATCTAATCTATTTATTAGGATTGAAATGGTTCGACATGTAGTGATAACAGCACTGTTCAGTCCACTCCAACATACAGTCCCCCAGGAACACGTGTACACGCACACAGCAGTAGCAATCTTACATTGTGAACGTAATTAAACCTGTTATATTCATTCATTGTTTCATTACTACGTACCAAAAATGTGGCAATTTTGATCATTCCATGACTCATGGGCATTGGATCTTATGAAATATGTGTCAATCTCTTATTTCAATGTGGATGATTGTGACACACTTTGCTGCTGTAAGGTTTACGGTCATTGGCTGGTTTGCTATGTATGTTCTTTAACCAATGAAAGATACATTTTAATACAGAAATGTATATTAAGATTATGAATGGGAAAAAGTCTGACACCATCAGCGCTGAATGCAAGTTGAACTGTAAAGGTTCAGTTGTAACTCCCACTAATGTTTGTAACTTTTATAGTTATATGGTGTCTACAGGAAGATTTAAATTCAGAAATGTCCAATTAGGTGTCATAAATCTCCTGCTCCAAACAGTAATTATGTGTAGTGTCTGTATCTGAAATGCAGCTTGCTAATTACAGTCTGCGTTGTTTATTCTGGCGTCATACTTTCTCTCTAATCACTGCAGATTATTCTGTGGCTAAACACTTTGCGGCGCAGTTCAATCGCAGGGACCTGATCTCGCCTGTCACTGTCTCGTTTATACTTACACAAGTTCTGTCGTGGTCACATTCATGAATGATACAGTTTATTAGTCTTTGGTAGTTCGCCATCTCATTGTTGGTTTTCAATCTCTGGCATTGGATGGTTTCCACCCATTTACAGTATGTCAAGTTTTATTTCACATATTGACACACTGAGAAAAACATGGTCACATTAAATACATAGAATTTTAGTTTTATATTTTCTGATATCAATGAGGTGTCCAAGTAATAGCCTTGGGAGCATAATGAAAGCTCTTCGTTCTAATCCACAAAAATGATGGGATTTTCTGTAACTAACATTTTACTGAAACGCCTTTTACAAATTATTTTGATTTCACCATTATTGAGGCTTATTTGTGTTTATTTATGTTATCAAGCACATTTAGTCAATTTAGTTTGACCCAGTTTATTGAATTGGAAGTGGGGTTGGTCCTGGATGTTAGGTTGTATACATATTTAAAGCAGGTACTGTATATAAATATCAATACCATAACAATATTTGTATAATGACTGCAACATGATTATAAGACTCAAATATGGCAGTAATCGTATAAATAAATGTGTTCAAAATTAATCTGTGTTGATTTAACATAATATATCTGCATTCTTAATAATGGATTAAAAGGTAATATTAGCTTGAATAATGATTAACGACAGCCCTACTCTCACTTCTGCTCTGGGAGACTCTTGTTGAAATGGGCTTTGTATTTTGACACTATTGCAGAGGCGTTCATAATGACTCAATGTTACTCAATATTTAGTGATGGAAAATGATCACAAGCGGCTGAGTTCATCATATCTGTTGCCGTGGCAATAAAGCAACACAAGATTTGTAACCGCAGCTGTGCCACACCCTTAAAGTGAAATGACCTGTTTCCTTGTGTCTTCTAAAGAAATTCCCTCTCATCTATGCAGGCCTCTTCTCATATTCATGTTATATTGAAGACAGATTGTGTGTTTAAAACTGGAATTTGTGAGTCATCTTTGTAACACCAATCCTGTGTGTGTGCTTTGTTTTACAGTTACTAGGAGCAGCATTCTTGGCTATCGGCCTGTGGGCATGGGCGGAGAAGGTAAGAGTGAACACTTGTGGACAGCTTTAACTATTCCCCCAAATGCATAGCTCTATTTTTCACCACTTTAGTTCAGTTTGCTGAGAAAGTCTGATGTGTAGCAGACTGCAATCAAGGTTATGTGTTGTGAGAAAGCATTTTGACATTTCAAAGCCGCATGATACAAGGTTAAAAGATGCCGATAATTCTAAGCAATTTGCGTAAAGTGGATGTGGGTAGCACTCCTTTCAGTTTGCCCAAACCAAGTGGCTTTGGAAGGATGGGTTGAAGTTTTTTTTTCATAACAAAATAATGCATTGGTTTTATATAGAACTCTTCCTAACACAGATGCCTCACCTGGCATTATTCATTCACTCCATACACAGTGGTGATTTTCTATTGTAGCCACGGCATCCCTGGGGTAGAATTGCAGAAGTGAAGGAACCAGTTTGTGCCATTGGCCTTTCAGAACGTCACCAATCATTCAGACACTCACCAGACTCATATTAAGCAATTTGGGTTATGTGTCTTGGGTAAGAATAGAGAGGATGTACTTCCTGCGGCAGCTCAGGAAAGCCAAGCTGCCTGCACAGATGTTGGTGCAGTTCTACACGGCCATCATCGAGTCCATCCTCACCTCCTCCATCACCGTGTGGTTTGCTGGAGCCACAGTCAGGGACAAACAGAGACTACAGCGCATCATGAGCTCTGGAGAGAAGGTGATTGGCTCCATCGCTGCAGGACCTGTACGTCGCCCGAGCTCGGGACCGGACTGGTCTTGTCACAGCCGGAAACTCTAACCCTGCACATGGACTATTCCAACCACTCCCTCATCGCATGAGGTTCTGGTCTGAATGGACCGTAGCCTCCTGCCAAAGAACAGTTTCTTCCCCTCTGCTGTTGGACTCATGAACACTTCCTAACCTGTCCCCCCGCTCTTTTTAAATTCTGAGAGCTTACACAAACTTGCTCTCTATAAAGTCACTTAAAAAAAAAATTGGATGTCACAGTGGCTGAATGGATAGCACTTTTGCTTCTCAGCAAGAATGTCCTGGGTTCGAATCCGGTTGGAACATAACCTTTCTGAGTGGAGTTTGCCTGTTCTCCCTGTGTCTGCTCCGGGTTTCCCCCAGGTGCTCCGGTTTCCCCTACCTCCTGTAAGTAAGTAAGTAATCTTTATTTATATACCGCCTTTCACAGACCAGAGTCACAAAGCAGTTTACAATTGTTATTTTTGGGCACTTGTCCTCTCACTCCACACAGAGATGGGAGCGGGGTACTGGCGACCTCACCCTCTTCTCTGTGTGGAATGAGAGACAAATGTAAAGTGCTTTGTGACTCTGGTCTGAGAAAGGCGCTATATAAATGAAGCTTGCTTACTTACTTACTTTACTGCCTTTTATAAAGTCACTTTACTGCTGTATATAGTAATTGTAATAATTTTATAATGGTCTTTACCTCTCTTCTTTGACTGTTGCACCAAGAGCCAAAGCAATTTTCTAGCCTGTGACTTCCTGTTACTTACATGGCAATACAAATGATTCTGATTCTGGCACCCAGTGTTCTGAGAGGTCTCCCATTACAGTACTAACCTGGCCCTACCCTGCCAGGATCACGTTTTCACGAGCAGGTGTTGCCAATGTTGTCATAATACATGTTTTTCCCAAAAGAAAGTCTGTGTAAATGGAAAATGTATATTGTGAACAAGTCATAACACAACTCACTGTCTTCACATATACTTTCATAAAACTAGTGGTAGTGTGAGGAACAAGTTAGTAGGAGTTTATGTCCTAGTTGAAAGCTTTGACCTTAAGATCAAATTTACTCGTTGGCAATCCTTGCCTTGGATTCCACATCTGTCTGGTTTGTATGTAACCAAGTAAACTGGTTAATTACATGTATTTATTTTTTACTGTTTTACAAAATGTGTGACAGACGTCAACATTCTGGGTAAGGGAAGGACAGTTTATGAAATAGTCAGGGTAGCTCCTCTGACAATAATGTCTTGAACAATTTGGTTGCCCTTCAGACTTGTTACAATGAAAGCGTATATTTGGACCCAACTACATTCTTAGGAAAATCAGCTTTGCACTAATTGCCGAGCTGTGTTGGGCTAGGAAGTAGAACTGAACAAGCTTTGCAAATTGCAGCATAGAAAAAGACACAGTTGCAAATCGGCCTCCCATTCCAAAACTATAAACTCATTTGGCTCACTACCATCAGGAGTCCAATGCGCTGTTGAACAAATTGAACTGTGCTCTCAATCCACTCTACATATTGCACAACAAGTTTGTTTCCATCTTTGTGCGGGCAGCAGGGGTCAGAGGAGCGTGCAGTGAATCATGGAAACATACAAGGCAGCAGCGTTAACAGTCAATTTGTTCATTAATTACTCCCGAATTGTTCCAGTCGCTTCTGATAATGCAGCACTAGTGTAGGGAGCCGTGTCGTGATTAGCTACCAACACGAGTGCACTGAGAACCTTTGTGGTGCAGCGTGAATAATTAAAACAGGATTAGTCTGACTTTGTACAAATGTAGGTCCTGGTGGCTGAGGTAATTGGCCTGAAATGTGCACATTCAGCCCCAGTTGTATCAAGATGGGTCAAGAGTCACACAGATCACAATATTATCTTTAGAAATTATGACTGAACAATTTTGAAGACTTTATGAATGGATCATGTTCAAAATCCGCAAGGAGAAGTACCACTGAAGTCACGCACGTACTATCCTTATTTTACATTTTGAAGAAAATTGTGAATTTGTTATATGTGACTCGCTTTCAGTGATCTTTGTATTTCTTACCCTGCTTTTGGGGATAGCCACATTTATTTTACAGTTTGTATGAAAAGGAAATTATGTCGAGGAATTATTGTAGATAGATAGATGGATAGAAAGATACTTTATTGATCCCTGTACGAGAAATTCAAGTGTCCAGTAGCAGCAAAAATAAAGAATACAATTGATCACTCTAAAAAGCTAACAATAGTAAGAATAAGCAACAACCCTTCAGGTCACAGCAGCAGAGGTGGAGTAGCCTCTGGGTGGAGCAGGACGGGTCACAGCAGCAGAGGTGGAACATCCGCTGGGTGGAGCTGGACAGGTCACAAGTTGGAGTAGCCGCTTGGTTCGGACCAAAGCAAAAAGCTGAATGTCTCACCAGCATCCTTCTAAAAGCTTGCATTCCCCCATCAGCATTGTAGCCACTAACAGTGATTTGTATTTGATTAAAGACGGCATTATTCATTCACTCGATGCACTGGTGGTGGTACTGCCATAGTCAGTTACCCTGCAGAAGACTGGCGGAAGCAAGGTGACTAATTGGCCCGTCCGACAACCACCAATGATTCAAACACACACCAGACTCATTCTAAGCATTGTGTTTACCTGTATTGGTATTCTCTGGGTAGAGCTGTATGTGGCAATGGTGGTGAGCGATTCGAAACAGCCCCACGCGCTCCGGCACATGATTTTGTTTCTATTTTCATTATTTGCATAAAGTGCATGTGGTTATGAACTTGTGGTAAAAATGTGGGCTTTGCGCTACATTGTATTGCGCTTGTCTCTGTTCACTTTGAGTCAACAGCCTTTGCGCTGATTCGCCCTAACCCTCATTCCCTGCCCGCGGAGATGATAGTGCATGCGTTCAAACACAGAATATTGAAGTTACACAGATTTTACTGGCTTGTATGTTCAGCACTGATCCAGAGACAGCTGCGTTTATTCTCTGTGTGCGCTGTTTGTAAAGGGCTCCAGTTAGAACTCAAAAAGGATCCTTGCTCACTCCTGGTTTTTGGCTGCAGTGAGTTATCCTCTACAATACAGCGGCAGCAGTTTCTCTGTTCTGTCCACGTCTCTGGCCCGAGCGCAGAGAGCTCAGCAGTGGGAAATTCAGCCTCTTAGACGAAAGCTTCAAGTGTTTGACATGTGCCGTGCCGCTCGACAACACCACAAAAAAAGAGTATGCAGGTGCAGACTCAGGCAGGGAAAAGTTGGAGTACTTGCTAACAGATTACTGCTGCTATTTTGTCTTTTTCAAATCATTAATGTAACTTAACTGCTGTTTTATTCTTCTAACCCTCCCAATGAAAGAAAACTATTATGTATACCAATTATTATAAAAATGTGTAAAATTGAGATAATCCAAAATCAAATGCATTAGACTTGTGTGTGTATCTGTGTTTACTGTTACAGCATCAGTGGCATCCGTTCCCTTATTTGCTGGAAGTCTGTCATTTGAATAGTCTGATTACGTTATTGGACAAAGGCCTCACTGAATATTACGACATAATGAAATGTTGTGGTTGTTACAAACGTTAATCACAATTCTTCAAAATGACGCACTATAAAATAAATGATGTTATTGGAAGATTTATCTAATGCAACACTAGACCTCGTGCTCTCATTTTCTGCCTGTCCATATAATTTCTCTCATTTAGTGACGGGATGCATTGGATTACCAGACAATCTGATTCAATAGATCTTGTGATAAAACTATTGTGTGTGCTATTTCTGAAATCTTATGTTTGTTGTTCCTTTTTTCACTATGTGGGTATTGTTATACATATATCATACACCCTGTTTCTGAAAAATCTAAGCATTACTTCTGCTCTATCCACGGTTGTTGTTTATGTTTGGTTCAGTGGGGGCTTCACTTTTACCTTGATGTTGAATGTGTATAGTACGGGTTGTTGCCAAAAAAATAAGAGGGATGAAAACATTGAAAGATGAGACAAGGGCAGATAGAGCAGGACACGTCGCTCCAGATTTTTACCAAACAAATCAAACTATACTGAAAAAAACGGATAAAGGAGAGATCTTTTGATGTCACCCACTCTCTCGCTGCATTGTGTGGAGAAGTTTTGTTTGATTGATATTGGGTTTGAGTTGTGGAGCTCACTCTTTTATGTGGTGTCTCCCACAGGGCGTCCTGTCCAACCTGTCGTCCATCACAGATCTGGGAGGCTTCGACCCAGTGTGGCTCTTCATCGTAGTGGGCGGAGTCATGTTCATCCTCGGCTTTGCTGGCTGCATTGGAGCGCTCCGAGAGAACACTTTCCTGCTCAAGTTTGTAAGTCCTACTCCCTGACCATAGACCTTCTTACATCACATGATTTCAGAGGGCGAGACTGAAGTGTGTATGCGAGTATGGATTTTGACTTACAGCCGCGTCACTACAAACCGAAATTATGTTGTGTAGTAGGTCATACTTTGGGCTGACGAGCAATTGTTTGTGGTGCTCCAGGGATCTACCTCGACGGGCACGTTTCTGTTGTCCACCCCTCTCCTTTCTACATGCACTGAAAGCGGATAGGAAAGCCTTTCCGAGAAAAATATGTGATTCGAGATTAGTTGCGAGTTTTCCATGACATTTATGCATTTAAATATGTTCTATCATTTGACAGCTCTAATTCAAATGTATGAACTGAATATCTTAAATATTGACAGCCTTATTGAGATACCATTTAGTCCAGTTTTCATTTCTAAATGTTTTAAAATGTTCATGTGCTTGTTTCAGAATGTTCCAATTTATGATAAAATCACAGTTCGATGCTTTTAGCTACTTATACCATTGCATGTGATCAGAATAAATATTATTTCACAAAGTGTGCCCTTCCTATGCTCTGTCTGTCCATGACCTCAGCCCTGCCGTTGCACTGAGCGTGTGTGAATGACGGAGACTAAACGGCTTTAGTGCCGGCCGTGACTGGGAGCAGCTATTAGCTCCAGCAGACGTCCATTAGCAACTATAAGTCAGGCGTCAGAGGCAGCAGATAATGTGGCTACTGTGCATTCATTACTAGCCTGTCTCCTCACGTTTACTGTTGGAGAAAATATCACTCCACCGATGAGACTGTGGTCTGCAAGCTGCACGCTCAAATTAGCCATACAAAACAACAACTCACAGTCCTCCTTAAAAATTGTAGTGGCGCCTCCTACATCTCTGATTTCCCAAATTGTTCTAGTGTGTGATTGTTTTTATATGTCTTGTTTATTTTTTGTTTTGTTTCATCTGCAGTTTTCAGTCTTTCTGGGCTTGATATTCTTCCTGGAGCTGACAGCTGGGATCCTTGCATTCGTATTCAAGGACTGGATCAAAGACCAGCTCAACTTTTTCATTAACAATAACATCAAGGCCTACAGAGATGATATCGACTTGCAAAACCTCATTGACTTTGCACAAGAATATGTGAGTTTTCACCTCTAACCCAGACCTGTTCTTTCAAGAGATGTTTAACTTTACATGGTTTATAAGGGTTAAATGTATGTCTTTATTTCTCAAAAATCTATGTTTGGTTAACTTTGTTAACAAAAGTTGACTGTGGTATAGTTGAAAAAAGATGCATACAGGTAAAAATCTCACCCTGCGTCTTTTCAATGTTTTTAGTGGTCGTGCTGCGGGGCTCATGGTCCGGACGACTGGAACTTGAACATCTACTTCAACTGCACGGACAACAATCCCAGCAGAGAGAAGTGTGGAGTGCCCTTCTCCTGCTGTATCAAGGACCCTGCTGTGAGTCCAATACACTTCAATAGAATTAAACACTGAACACACTAAGAATGCTTTCATCTTTGTCACTTTACAATGTAAAATATAATTTGGTCTGATTATCTGGTCATTTTGATCAGTGAGTAGTGTCTACAGATATTCTGACAGAATAGACCTCTTAAACGGAACAAATTACACCTGCATCAGAAGAATTTACTCATCGTGGTTAATGTGTACCATTTCTTTTTCTATTTTTTTTTTAGGAGGACGTCATCAACACACAGTGTGGTTACGATGTTCGGCTTGAAAGGGTTAGTATCACATACATGTGTAATTATGACTATGCACCTAAATACCTTCAGTTGTATTTTGTAACTTGGATTTGCTTCAACTTTGATAGAGCAGGAAGACCTTTGAGCAGTGTGATTGGCAGACGCTGTCTGCCTCTCTGGTAAAACTGACATAAAGCTGCTGAGTTTAATTTCTCCTGAGGCCACATTGATTGACATCCTGCAAACCATTTGATTGAAATGATCTTCAGTTGTCAAGCACAGAATGGCAATCGCTTCCTCTCATTTGGTCATCATTACTCTGTTGTACACGGCAGGGAAATGGAATTGGGTTCATGACATTGACTTCGGTAAAGCTGAAGGCTGTGTGCTATGTGCTTGGTCATAGAGGGCACGCAATGTTCAGGGTTAAGCACATAGTCCTGAGTGCGCACTCTAATAACAGATTTTTCTTCTTACGGGGATAATTAGGATCCTGTTATAGCCTGGACGCAGCCTTATTTCACTCTATAATTGGCGACTGTGGATTGTACCAGTACAGTGCGCTGCCTCTGTGTGTGGGTGTGGTGGTTACAACTCGCTGCACTGCAGTCTGAAATATTGCTGTTGCTAGGCGAGCGGCAGCACAGTAAAGATACCTGCTCAAAGCTCTTAGGAGCTTTGAATTAATCTGGGTTTGAGGTCATGGACTTGGTGTGTGGTATCTATCAGTGACCTACAGTTGTTCCTGTGCAGCCTGTTTGTGACAGAGGAAGAGCCAGAGACAACAGAGGCAGCTCAAAGGAAGTTCTCACAGAACGACAGAGAGTTTCCTTGTTTCTCTATTGGCTGCCATTTGATATGGTTCACTCTCATTGGTTGACAGCCGAGAACAAAGTCAGTCTGCTTGACTTTGTGTATAATGTAGAAAAGCATGTATTATATGGAGAGTGGTCCACACCCATACTTCACCCTGTTTTAGCTGGGCTAGCTATACTTCCACCTGGCTTTACTCTGCGTATGTGAGTGGTCTAACAGGAAGAGGACAGGCCTGTGTGCAGCCCTGACATGGACCTCTGCTCTTCTCACAGAAACTCTGTAATCTCACAATGACTCATCCCCTCCACTTACTCACTGCTTTCTGTTATCTCGTCTGGTTAGTCATAGGCTGAAGAAGACCATGTGCTAAAGAATTTAATATTCACCCAACTTTTACACAAATTTAAAACCAGCTGACTGAATGTGCTGCGTGTGTGTGTGTATGTGTGTGTGTGTGTGTGTTGTCCAGGAGCTGAATCGACAGACGTACATCTTCACAAAGGGCTGTGCGGGGCAATTTGAAAAGTGGCTTCAGGACAACCTCATCATTGTGGCTGGGATCTTTGTGGGAATAGCACTTTTACAGGTAAAGATATCCCCTCCTTTTCTTTCCTCTCTCAATGTTTGGACCTAGTGTGTTTTTAATGCCACCTTGTGGAGAACAACAGTCTGTTTTTCTTATGTGTGATTCATATTTTTAGTTAACACCCAGTCTGACTCTTTCTCTTTTTCTCTCTCTCCTCTAGATTTTTGGTATCTGCCTTGCCCAAAACCTTGTTAGTGATGTCAAAGCTGTCAAAGCCAACTGGTGACAGGAGGGGGAGCCACATCCCTCCTCTCAGCAGGCTCCACATCCTGTCCACCTGAGGACACGCACAAACGCACTCACTGAGCTACTCTTCATCATTCGCCTGATGACGAGATCAACCAAACATTTTACAAAACTGTTTACCACTCAAGAAGGGGTGCTGACCCAGTTATTCATAGGACCTGCTTGTTTCTTTCAAAGGTAGTTTCTTAAATTTATCTTTTTTTTTAAACATAGTTAGAAATTGACAGTTTTAAGGGCACAATTGCACACAGACTCTTTTGAATCCGGAGATCAGAAAACAGTGTTTGACACTTAAAAATAACTGGACTCTTGAAGGAAGAGAGAGAAACGAAGCTCCTTTTCACGTCACGTTTGTCATTCAAGTGGGGAAAAGTAGGGAACCAACTGCATTCTGGGTTTGTGCTCTTTAACAGAGCTGAGACCGCTTCCTGCCGACTATACGCCACTCAACTCTTGATCGTCCTTTATGCTATTTTTCACCAATGACCTTTAATGACCACTGAAAGCTCGCGCCACTGACAAAGGGAGCAACTTCACTTCAAATGTAAAAAGAAACAAAAGAAAGTGCCGTTAATTTCCTGAGATACAACCCTGCCCTCCCTGTGCTTTACATGGCATTTCTGCACCCCAGCCCCAGAATACCTCAGGGCCTCACACAAATTATTTGCTTTCTCTTGCAATGTTATCTCCCTTTCCCATCCTGTGTCTGTTGAATTTAGATAGAGAGCAACTTAAGGCAGAAAGCCAGAAGACTGTTTTTCTTGAAAGTCACCCTGTTTCCCCCTGCCGTGATTGTATTAGCGGTTAATTTAGTGAAGGATGGTATTGTATTATATGGAAAGGTCTGGAAGAAGACAGAAGCACGCAGGGGGGGAGGGTCTAACCATAGAGATTGTGAGTTTTTAAAGTCCTGCGTCCCCCTAGCACACGGGGATGCGGGTTCGGGGCCTTTATTTTTTACTTGACCTGTGTTGCCGCTTTTGTCTTACGCTTCTATGTTTTCGATTGTCCTCGTGTGTTGTTTTAGTTTGACATCGTACGGCACTTGTTTACCTCTCATAACGTTACTACAAAGAAAAAAAAGTGTCGTTTTAGCAGTCAAAATGGAGACCAAAAGATTCCTGACTTGGCCAACATGTGAATATATTGTCCCTTTTATTTGGGGAGTGCCAGTTCATTTGATGAATCAAACTATATTAAAATGTTACATTATAATTTTTATCTGAATAATTGTGTCTATGTTGTTGTCTTTTTTTTTTTTATAAAGTAGTTTATGTGCTCAATGCTGACTCTATTTTTAACGCAATTGCTGCTATAGAGCCATATATTGTGAACTAACTTTTAAATATGGTGGCATTTGAAAAGCTGCCACATACAGTACTTAATATTCTTTTCTACCTTTTATTGCTCTTTTCTTCTGTTATGTATAACTGCAAATGCATAACTCACTTTGAAGGCAATGAACAGCTTTGCTCCAAGCTGCTTCATCTTGTTTTGCCCCACTAAATGTGTTTTTCACGCAACTGGCTCCTCTTGATAAATCCACCGAACCAACTTAATGAAATTAGCAGCTGTAACAATTCATAATACTTACCCCAAACACCTTCCACTGCAGCCTGCCAAGTTGAAAGAGGATTGCAATCTATATTTGGTGTCAGCTCGCAAAACTTTGTACACCATCGGAATGTGTATTTGCCTTTTTTTCTCTCATGACAGCGTCGTGTGATCACCCGCTATCCGCACATGCCGCGTGTTATTTCCATCTTCAAAACAACTGCTTGTGCAAGTCTGCGTCAGTTTGAGGAAGGTTGCCATTTCTGGGATATTTTTAAACACCACGTCTGCAGGAAAACAAAAGGGAAGTCTTTTTAGACCAGTGAATGTGGAGAGTGTGGAGAGAATCCTGGTTTTGTTTCCAGGCGTGAGGTAAACGCTGAAAAGAAGCCTTAGAAAGTGCTTTGTTGTAATTGTTGCCTTAAATGAATGCATTGACTTATTTGTACTTCAGAATGAGGCTTTTTTCTCTACATCTTTCCCAGGATAATGTTGAAACAGCTTTGATTTGCTTCCGTTCTGTGTTTTATTGGAACTATGCTATAGCCTGACCACCCAGCCTCGTTTTCTTTCATAATAGAAGTTTCAAATCTCACCCATTATGGCCTTGTTCCACCTTGGCTTGTTTCTCCCCTGGATCATGTGTTTTAACCATAATTGGGAAGCCTTTTCATATAGATTACTCTTTTCAATTATGTATGTACAGCTAAATCAACAACAGCAGTCGCCTTTGAGGACAACTTTTTCGATTCACTAACAATAGATCAAAGAATCAAACCACAGGAACACAGGAAATGCAATAAAAAAACCCAAGCTGTTAGTCCATTACAACAACATATTCTTGGCAACATTTTTAAAGGATTTTTTTTTCTTTTTTTTCTCTTTTAGTAGATCCAACTTTGTGCATGGTTAATTGCATGCTTTGTGCACGGTTAATTTGAAACCGCAGTAATTTCTGAGTTGAGTGCTGGTCAGGATGGAAAAACGCCTGGAGTAAAAAGCCTTTGATCAAGTTGATATCAAACTCAAAGTGATCGCGTAACCAGTACAGATTCAGATTCATTTTATTTGCCATTTGCAGTAAAACCACATTGGAATACATTAGCAAAAGTCCCCAATGTGCACAAGACAAATACAGACATAAAACAACATTAAAAGTGCCAATACCAGTCTAGAGTGTGATACAAATACAACTGATCAGGCTTATGTCTCAGGACCAACATGCAAAATTATTTCATGTAGAAAACCTGCCTTTTCAAGCAATATTAAAGACGCCGTTGACCATACCCCTCTCTCCATTGTAACATTCATGCATTCAGCTTAGAGATGTCTTAATTTTAAAATGTTTTTGTGATTTGCAATTCATTTACATTCGTGTAAAGGCTGAGCGGCGGAATGCTAATTGCTTTTTGTCCTTCATCACAATGGCTGTGGATCAGCGGTGTGTAATCTTTCCTGAGGAGCAGATAGTGAATGTATGAGATGTACTTGCAAGGACCTACATCCGCCGGTTTATGCAGAACAATGCCAACAATGAAGTCAACAACTGTGAATGACAGCTGTTTTTACATAGTTTAAATAAGTTTTTACTTGCATGTTTGCATTTCATTTATGTATCAATGTACGATGTTGAAGCAGGTACATAACTGTCAATAAGACCCAAGGTATTGGACTCATCAATCATGCGACTTACAAAGTGAACCATTTGCCCTTCAAAGTCCTCTCGGTAATGTTCAAGAATATGACAATAATTACTTCTTTATATGTCTGGGTTAGGATTTCATGTGACATTATGAAAACAATGGAGGCCTTGGTATAAAGTTTCAGCCCCAAACTAAAATGAGTAACACCCCCATATCTAACTAAACAGTTTTTACATGCAGGTTCTTACAAGTTGGGACGAACAAGTAGTTATTTGGGATTTTAAAATATTTTCAGTACAACCAGATAAGCGTGAACTGCAAGTGTAGAATTTATGTCCAATAAGCATATTAAGTTGTATTGTTTAGTTTGGATTGACAATAACAAAATTCACACTTTCCTCAAAGTTTTTTCACACTCATTTGTTGACCCATGCCTGAAAATGGATTTCATGCATTATTCAAACTCATATTTGTTTGCATCTATGACGTGAATCATTATTTTACTTTCCATCTTTGCTTTGGCTGTTTTATGCTTTTGAAGTTAGTGTCTTTGGGCTTCTCTTTTCCTGATATGATGAGAAAAGTAGCACACTCAATATCCTGCAGTGGATTCGTACCTCATCGAGCTCGTCACATACTTGTCGTCACATCTGGAAGCATCAGCATGCATTACTTTGTGTCAGTGAGGATATTATAGCAAAATCACAGTTGTTAGTGCAGAATGCTCCACATCAGCTGAAATGACAAGGCGTGAGGAGTCTGTGGAAACCGTGATATGTTTTGATTCACCATGAAACCTCTGTTTGGCTAATATTCCCCATTTACTCGCCAAAGCAGGACTTACTGAATGGGTTGCCTTGTAAAGAATTATTGTACATGTAAAGATACTGTGGGACCTGGTCTGTTACACTGTATATTGTGCTGAATGATGCCTCTTTCATATAATAAAGGTTTTATTACAACAAATGCAAGTTTTAGAATGTTATTTACGGATTTTCAGACAGTCATTCAACTATTGTACTGTATATTAGCCGCGTAGGTGTAATCGCACAATATTGAGATAAAAAAAAAATGCTGCCATTGTCAGGGAACAGGTGAGATAAAATGCTCAATATTTATTGTTAGCTGTAACGAGGCATGCGTGGATATTCATACAATTCTGAAAATATATCCAAACGATTTATAAGTCGTACAGTGCAGGCAGGGCCGGAGTGGGACAACATTTCAGGCCGGGAGCTTTTCATCCATTCAGGCCAAACAAGGTTCTAAATTTGGGTTTTTGTCATTGTATTTTGATGTTCTTTTAATAGTTTTAAGATTGACTGTCAAAACTTTTGTTTTCTTTATTTTTTTTTATATTGACTGTTTATATAATCTCGGACGTTTAAAGATTGTTGTACGTTGCTTAGCAACGTAACGTTTATGGAGTTTAGTGAGAATAAAGACACACACACACACACACACACACACACAATGAACTGTTCATTAGTGTATAACTATAACAAGCTAATCAATTATTGTTAAAAAAGTAGTAAGGTAAAATCACATCGTTACAGCTCATATAAAAGGAAAAATAAAAACGTGTATGAACCATAAGTTGGAGAGACCACTCATTTCAACCGGGGAAGCTACACTGGGTGCACTGCTAGGCTGGCCTGGCTGTGTAGCCGACGTGTGACGTCACATTTGTTTAATTTTGCTCTGGCCCAATGACAGTAAAGCTTTGGCCAGTGTTGTGCCAGTTCACAGCTTTTCTGAACTAGTTCAAGTTCAGTTCATACAT